TATTTAGAGAACTCTTTCTGTTTCCAAAAGGTTGTTTAACAGTTCACCCTCAAGTGAGGCATCAAGGTCAGACATTTTCCAACAAGAAGTCCTGTGACTAATAAAACAAGTTGACTAACCTAGTAGGTGTTGTGAGATAAACTGGCCCCCACTATGCTGGGTAATGCTTGAGGACATCAGGAATTAGATCAAATCTAAAGGAGGAATCTAGTTGGAAGTAGCTAAATGGTGTCTAGAGGACTCCAAATGTACTGGGTCAGTCTCGGGCCACGTGGCATAAAGTTTATGTGCCTTGGGGATCTGGGTAGGCTGTGAGTGGTATCATCACTAAGATACAAAGCCTGTAAAATGACACCTTCAGTAATAGACATCTACTACCTAAAAGGGTGGAGAAAATTAAATAGTGGCATAAGACATAATACTTGGAATTTCTTAAAGAATATTATTGCATAAATATATCAATCATGTAACTGTTGGTAACTCAAATGAATATACTGTGATGTTATTTGTTATTGACTGCTTACAACATTGCCAGAATGAGTTGTTGAGCTACAAATCTCTGATGACTCTCCAAATGTAAGACCCACAGTATTGCTATGACTGAAACCTTGCTATGACAACAAGATACCAGTTTAGTTGCAAAGAGGATGGGCTCTACTTTGATATTTTTTTTCACATGTGCTTTAGATTTTTCTGGCATAGGTACATGCTTATTGATTCTATGTAAGCTTATATAGGATTCCTAATAAAGAAGATAATAAAATCTATAGGTTTGTTCATTTTATCAAATCAAAACATTGGACCAGGCACAATGTATTTGTTGTTATGACTCTGTCCTAGTACGTGTCAAGGAGACCTATTTTTAAGAGAATTATTTCAACCTCAAATGACATTAAATATTGATTGCTTATATATACCTTCAACAACAATAATACAGGTATTTTACATAATTAACAGCAAAAATGTCTGTTCTCTCTATATTTATTTCACTTTATGATTCAGCCATTAACAGTGAATTTCTAGTATTTTTATTTGTGAGGCTAAAAGGCACTGCATTGAATTGAACATTGCTTATTTTAACATATTGATTGCCCACCTATGGCTTTCTGTACACTGGACACAAAGATGAATTAGGACATTGTTGCAGGACTCAAGAATTTCTCTACCCTGGAAATAATTTTGACTGTGGAAAAGAAATTATAGTTAATGCAAGATCAAAATATAATTATATGAAGAGGGTTATGAGAGCATAGGCAAGGATAGGAGGGAGGAGGTGGGCTTGGCACCTAGAAGTAGCAAGATCTAGAAAGAAGTTTAATGGTAATCTAGACATGATGAGAGCCTGAAATGAGGCAGTGGCACATAGTAGATGCTGAAGAAATATCTGCTGGATAGAGTGAATAAGGCTGATAAAAGAAATATTTAGAAAGTAGTATCAGTAAATTTAGGTCATTCATTACACATAGAAAGTAAAAGAGGAAGAATTCAAGAGTTATTGCTGACAGTTCTGATGTACAACTAGTAATGTCATTGATTGATAAGGGGACTACTTGGAAGGGCTCCTAGGTGGAGATCATTCATTCAGTACCAGGTTGAGTTTGAAATACCCATGAAACATCCAAACTAGATGTTCCACAAACTATTAGGGGAAAAGAATCTTGAACCTGTGAGGAAGGTAGAGATTTCACCTATGGGATTTAGGAATCTATATCAATGTGGTAGAAGTTATTAGAGTAATTAGATCATATAACATCCAAAAGAGGACAAGAGAATCATCTTGAGGAATGCCAACACTAGGGGCAGGCAAAGAATAGGAGCTGGTGAGGGGGACTGTTGTAGAGGTTGAAGGAGAACCAGGCAAGGCCACTGTCTGTCGACATCAAGGGGGAAGAGCGTTTCAAGAAGGAACTTGGGCTCAGTACAAGAGAAGACTGAAGAGACACCATTGGTTTTGCAGGAGGGTAAGGATAAACAGGAAGAAAGGAAGTTGAAGAGCCACTTCACACGACCACTTCAAGTTCTGCACCAAAGGGAAGACAGGTGGAAGACTCCAGGAGTGAACCAAGTCAGGGAATGACTTTTGGAACATGGAAGTTTCAGAATTTTGTAAACAGAAACAAAGAACCCAGTAGAAAGAAAGTAGCCAGCACTATAGGAAAGAGAGAAGAAATGTAAAAGATAGATAAGTGGAAGCATATACCTTTTACTCAGAGATGTAAAGAAAATAGGTACAAACAGAAGAAAATGTAGCATCAGGGACAAACACATCCAGCTTCCTCATTTCTGTAAGAAACAGGACACTAGACGTTTGCTAATGAAAGGTTGGTGATATTGGTAGGGAACTTAAGAAGAAGGATAAATTTTCCATGGGGAAGCTGACTGTGTTTATTCCCCTTATAGAATCACTTTTTTCCCCTTTGTTTGTCAGATTTATTGACCTGTTCTTCAGGTATAGAAGTTTTTACTATATATGTTTCTAATTTAAGCAAATCTCATCTGTAAGATTATAAAATTTTAAAATAAGGATATGTGGTTATTGCATTGCCAAGAGAGCCATTCTTTCAAAAAAAAAAAACTCTTAAAAAAAAAGAAAAGGAGAGAGGGAAACAAACCATAAGAGACTGTTAACAATGGACAACAAACTGAGGGTTGATGGAGGGAGGCAGGTGGGGGATGAGCTAGATGGGTGATAGGGATTAAGGAGGGCACTTGTTGTGATGAGCACTGGGTGTTGTTTGTAAGTGATGAATCACTGAATTCTACTCCAGAAACCAATATTGCACTGTATGCTAAGTAAAATTTAAATTTGAAAAAAAAAAAAAAACTCTTTTAAATAGTCCATTCAAATTACTACCAAATTTTCCAAGATCTTTTTGCACATACCTTTCAGGAAAACATCTAATAAATAAAAGGGGGTAACTGACTGTTGCATCTGATCATTATCTGCAATGTTGGTCTTTTCTTCCTGCTCCTTTAGACAGGTGCAGACCTGTTAATACTAGAAATGAATGCCCCTTTCTTTGTGTATCCACCAATATAGTGATGCTCTAGCATCTGTACATCTCTTATTACATTTTGTTTTGCAAAGAACGCCAGGGTACCAAATTGGCTTATTCATCTTGCAGCTTGCGTGCTGCTGCCCTCCCCTACCGCCCAAGTCCATTAACTGTCTGAATGCAATTCCACTTTAAACTTTAAAATATCTGTCATCAGTTGGTGGTTTTTGTCACTTTTATTGTGTCAAATGTGTAGATAAGGAAGGGACAAATGAAGCAAAGAGTTAGGAAGTCTTCCACAGCACACCAATCAACAAGCATACAGGTTTGCAGTGTTTTAGGGGCTTGGGTTTTTTTGGTGTGATACAGAACCCCACGGGCTTTTTAGCTTCACTTCTCACAAGACTGCACAACTAGTAAGGAAGTATGTACTGTGACTGACACCCATTAATTTCTCATTATTTAGAAAGTGGGAAAATAAAACAGAGGAGAATGATTTCAGAATTCCTTATCAAAGTGAGCTAACTTGGTTTAATGAGTGGTAAGCACTAATGCAGCATTGCTTTGTTTTTTGGAATACAAATGAGATGCCGGACAAGGTGCTTGTGAATACAGGAAAGAATATGACCAGCAGTCCTTTCCCTGCATGCCTCTGTTGCTAATTCTTTTTGGTGAAATATTAAGTATAAAAAGGAAAATTTAATTGTACAAAGAAATGACAAGCAGTATATTTCAGTGACCTCAGAAAGCACAAAGAACAATTCTGTCAAAGTTGTGGCCTTGGTTTCCTGAGCACTTTTCTCAAGTTAAAAAACAACAACAACAACAACAGATTTGACCAAGCACTTCACAAAAGAAGGTATATAATTGGCCAGTAAAAATAGGCAAAGGTGTTCAATACCATTAGGCAGTAGGGAAATACAAACGAAAACCCCAGTGAGACACCACCACAGCTCCACCCGAATGGCTGAACCCAAGAGGACTGACAGCGCTGATACCGTGTGTTGGGGAGGGGGTACAACAGCTGGAATTCTCACATGCTCCTGGTAGGAATATAAATCACAAGGATTTTGGAAAACTGTCTCTAGAATCTCCTAAAGCTCGATAGAGATAGATGATAGATAGATAGATCTATATATCTAATGGCCCAGCAATTCCACTCCCATGCATATACATTGACCATAAATGAGTACTTACGTCTACCAAAAATACATATAAGAATGTTTATAGTAGCATTATTCAGAATAGCCCAAAACTGAAAATATTCCAAATGTTTATCAATAGTAAATAAATGGTGGCATAGTCATACAATGGAATACTCTTCAGCTCTTAGAAACAAAGTTCTATGTACAGCAACATGGATGAATCTTATAGACATAATGTTGAGTGAAAGAAGCCAGACACAAAAGAATACATATTGTGTGATTACACTTCTATGAAGTTCAAAAATAGGCAAAACTGATCTAAGTTGATAGAGATGAGGAAGGTGGTTACCTTGGAGGGAGGGGGAGTATCAACTGATCGGAGATTCAGGGGAGACCTCTAGGATGGTGGAAACATCTATAGCCTTATATCTTATGTATCAGTATCTTGCATCTTGTATTTCCTACATGTCTTATATCTTCTGTTTCAACAAATGCATGCATATGTATAAATTCATTAAACTTTATGTACTTTCTCATTCCTCAGAGACATCAGATATCAGAAAGTCTGGTCTTATCGAAACTTTAGTCTCTTATCCAACTGAACACCTCCTTCTTCTGGCTTAGGTTGGACCACGAGAAGGCGCATAGTCTGCTGTTCCCTTCTTCCCTATCCTATAATTTCTAGTGCTTGCCCTTTCCAATTGTTAGGGATAGGGGGAGAAATTAGAGAAGAAATGGCCAATGTTTTTGTACTTAATGACAGTCATTGATGCCCTCTGCGTGGCAGGTGTCTAGACGCTGTCTCTCTCTGGAGGACCATGTGTAAGGTCTTCATGTGGTTCTTCCAATCCTTCCACAGCTCCCACCACCAGAGAAGTCCACTCCTCAACCTCTTGCTGCCAGGGTCCTGGTGATCAGCCTTCTCTTCAGTTACCTGTAACAGGGCTCAAGCCTGACCGCCTTTCAAGATGTCCTATTGACCCAAAGAAAACTCGTTCAACCTTGACATGCCAAACTGAGATTACAGGTCCTTCAACTTCTGACCTTTCTTGGTCTAGCTCATCTGTCCCCAACCTTCCTTTCCCCTACTTCACCTGGTATGAGGGGCAGATGACTAAGATCAGAAGTTGTCAGACTGGGAAATGAAATGCCAGTGTCCCTTCTTACATGCACTTCTGGTTTTGCTACTTTGGCTAGATTCAGAAGCATCCAACGAGGACAGAAGCTCCTGATGCCAGTGAGTCCTCCGATCCTTAGATAGTCTAGAGAAGTGCATGAAAAGATGTTGGTAGCAAGATAAGTTCTACTACCTCTTAGAAATGCTACACGTTTGTGTCTGGGGTGTTCCTTGGGGACTTACTCTAAGATGCTGAGATACTGATGGCCAATTGCTTTCAGTTTGGGCTTGAATCCTTCATTCTGAGGCAACCAAACTCCCATTCTGTATCTATTTAACATGGTAAAAGTGCAAAGCAGAAATAACCCAAATATCAAAGAAGATTAGTTGAATAAATTATAGTACCTCCATATGAGTAAGTATCATTTGTTATAAATCATGATCCAACTCTATATTTACTGACATGGAAAGATATTCTTGATTTATTGCTAATTGAAAAATGTTAGTGACCTCATGTTTCTGTCTATTCACATATATTATTGTGTAAATAGTATGAAGTAACAGTTATGATTATAATAATCTAGGTCAAGTGTTGGCAAACTACTACCTGTGTGGGTTAAAGCTAGCCTGCTGCCTATTTTTGTAAATAAAGTTTTATTAGATCACAGCCATGCTGGTGGCTGCTTTCCTGCTATAATAGCAAAGCTTAGTAGTTGCAACAGAAACAGTATGGCCTACAAAGCTTAATGTATTTTTACCATCTGGTGCTTTATGGAAAAAGTTTATTTTAGGTGATGGAATCATGGGTGATTTTTAAAAGTTTTTTGTATGACTTTATTTTCTACATTGAACATAAATTTATTATATAAAATATGTATCTGTTATTAAACCATTAAAACCTGGTTAGAAAAAAACTTATATTAGTAACATTAAACTAAAGAGTAACCTTGTAAGTGGAATCATAAAAATTGGATTTTAGGTTCCAAAGTTCTACTTCGAAATATAAGATCTACAATGTAGTTATAATATTATTTTGATTATTTTTTTAAATTAAGACCTATATATGGATATGAGTCTTCTAGTTACCAACAGGATTAGTTTCTGAAAACTGCTTCCAGAACTTCTGGCATGTTCTTTTCATCTTCTGTGTTAGCTTATTTGTCCTCTGAAGCTGTGTTTTCAGTGATATAGCGCTAAGTTTGATGAACAGGTGGGTTAATCTGAGTAAAGTTTTGGAGTAAAAAATAACTGTGACGAATAAATATCGAAGACTGATTTCCTTCACATAGTTTATCAACTAGATATGAAAACAGTTCCAAAATGGGAGGTTTTCAAAATGCTTAGAACTTTGGGAAATAAGTAAATCAATGTGGAACCTTCCACGACAGCTACTTTGAAGAATTAAATTCACTTGGATGCATAAATTACAGATATTTGTTACAAAGGACAATTCTGATGTAGCTAAGCAAATTTTGCTTCGAAGTCTTATAGGATAAAACCTAAAAAAAGGCATTTGAGTAATCAGAAAATAATGAAGACAGTCAGAAGACCTGCTAAGTAACACTAGGTGAGGGACTACTTGAAAATGGAATTCACATTAACCAGAAGTTCCAGATGACATGCATCTTTTTTAAAAGAAACAGAAGTAAACAGTATATTCATTAAACTTTCAAATACACAAAATAAGGAGGCTTTAAAAAATGCCAACAAGAAAAGAAAAATAACAGAAAGGATTTTGATAAAAATATAAAGCAATTAAAATGAGAAATAACAAAATTAAGCTTTGAAGCTTATAAATTTGTACATCCAGAAAGAATGCCAAAATTTAAATATATTATTGCATTGATGATTTTAGGATCTGCTTTATCGACTAACTAGTATCAATCCAATGGCAGAATTTCCTAAATATGATGGAACCATTTACACGTTTTCAGGGTCAAAATTTATCCCTGTATTCACAAAGCTTAAGACTCTGGCCTATCTAGAGGATAAAAAGTAAAACATGATTTATGTAAAGATACCATATCTCTTAATATTTTTAAAGGAAAATGGCCTCCCTTAGTATCCATTTCACGAGTCTTAAGATATTCTCTACCTTCTGATTCAACTCACCTTTATAATAATATCTCTCGTTACACCTGTTGCCATCATCTATGCTGAGCTAGCAGGTATTAAGCAAGCAAACCCCAAGCTTTCTAACACCTAAGCATCTCCTCATGTTTCCACCTCTAACCATTCACTTCCGGTTCCCTCTCACCTCATCCTGTGCTTATCTAAATCTGACCTTCAAAACCTGGCCAAAATATCACTTCCTTTATAAAGAATGCCTCTCTCTTCCTGACCAAAAGAAATCATTTCCTGCTCCATGCTCCCATGCCTCTTACCTGTTTCTGTCATAGAGATCTCTGAGTGACTATCTCATTTTCCCTGCTAAACTTCTATTTTCTTAGTCTATACCTACTTTATTTACTATTCTCTTCAGTGTCTAGCACATTGTCAGCAATAGCATTTTGTTAATATTCATTTGTTAATGAATAAATGACTTCTTTTGAAAAGGAGATATGGAAAGGAAATCTGTTTAATTTTTCTTAAAGAAATAGGAATAGAGAGAAAAAGATAATTCTGTCCATCTTCTCTGAATCAGATGATTGTTGAATAGGCTAGATATTTTCACTGAAGGCATATATGCTTTAAAACTAAAGAAAGCAACAGCTTTATCACATCTCCAGTGACCACTGTATGCCTTTTATAATGTTAATGCCACATGAAGTCCACCCTTTGTGCAGGAAGATGAATACACTACCCAGTGAATAGTTAGAGAAAACCTCATGCTCATTTATGCCACCTACTAATCTGTGGGACATTATTCAGTTTTGATGAGCCTGAGTTTTCTCATCTTTGAGATGGGAATAATTATTTTCAGCCTTACCTATTTCACAAGTTTGTTGTGACAGATAATAAGATAATGTAAATGATGGCACTTTGTAAATTGTAACATTCTATATAAATAAGAGTATATGAGGGAGCTCAATATAAGGGACAATAAAATAAATACAAATAAGAGAGAGAATGAGTAAATGACTAAAACAGGTCAGATTCTTTAGGTGAAATTTATATGAAATATCTTATGAAATGCTTGAAGCAAAGATTTTGCTCTGCAATAACTTGAGTTCCATCACAAGAAACTGAGTAATTCTATAGGTGCAAATGTTAAGATTACTGAATTATTTCACTGCTTTGTGAGTTCTATAATATTGTAAAATCAGTCTGAGGGATCCTTATAGATGAGAGTTCCAAGCCTGAAATAATCTTCAATCTAATTTACTTACTGTTACCATTTAAGAAGATTGATTTTATTTCCTTCTCTCATGCTATGAAAGTCAGTTTAGTAAGAGTCTAAGATCTTTTCCATCATACTTCATGGCATCCTGAAGTTTTAATAAACTTGCTGAAAAGGAATATAAATTGTGAAACCCAAGGATAAGAAATGAATCTGAGCATTTACTTATTCCAAACACCATCCAGATCTGGAATTCATCTATAGAATCCCCGCTAGTCTTGACCTGGATGGATTCAATGCAGAAAAAGGGATGGAAATCAACTGTTGATCCCAAAATCAAACAGGTAGAAATATGATCTCCCATTATTTTTGATGCAAATGAAACCTTTGGCTTCGCCCCATCTGCAGAACAGACACACACTATCATGTTGCAGTTCCTCCAGTCACTCCTTCCCTCTTGGTGATCCAGGCCCATGGCACACAGTTCCAAATTAGCTAGGACAATTAACAAATAAGTTTTCAGTTTTAATCTCCTTCCCCTCTTAATAAGACTTTATCAGCACATCAGTAGACATTTTCTGAGAGCACCAGCTCTACTCAGCTTAAATGTGTGATGGATTAGGCTGTTGCCTAAGAAGTTCCAGTTTCTTTCCCAAAGGAGCCACTGAACAGAACCTGTCTTGAATAGCAAATGTACCCTGAAGAGTGAAATTCTGTTAAAGTCACTCTGAGCCTCCTTATAGCTTGCAGCATGGGCCTTGAGAATTAGAACATTTAGTAGCTACATGATCAAAATGCCAAGATGTCTATAAATGATTTGGCTAATCCTCATATTGTGCTTATGGTTAACGTCATTACTTAAAACTTAAGATTTTAGGGGCGGCTGGCTGGCCTAACTGGTAGAATATGTGACTCTTGATCTCAGGGTCGTGAGTTTGAGCCCCACGTTGAGGGTAGAGTTTACTTAAAAAAAAAAAAAACATAATTTAGACTGGTAGTCATAAGTATAATGAATTAAATCTTTGTATCTTGTATTTTATTTATTTATTTATTTTTAATTTTATTTATTTATTTGACAGAGAGATAGCGAGAGCAGGAACACAAGCAGGGGGAGTGGGAGAGGGAGAAGTAGGCTTCCTGCCAAGCAGGGAGCCCAATGCTGGGCTCGATCCCAGGACCCTGCGATCATGACCTGAGCCGAAGGCACACGCTTAACAACTGAGCCACCCAGGCGCCCACATCTTGTATTTTAGATAAATTGCTTTGCCATTCAAAGAGCAGCAAAAACTTAACTGACCATAACCCAAATTAACCATGCTTCTTCCCTCACCTCTACCTCAATACCCCAAAGTTAAAATGCTAACTTGGTATAAAAACTGAATTTTAATTTCATGTCCATGTCATAATGAAAGCATGAATAGTCAAATGAAACCACAATTGACGATTGACTTATTTCACGCTACCATCATATCATGTACTCGTATTGGAAAGAAGTTGGTTTTCCTATACATGAAAAACTTCCCTGGAGCATAATTTACAACTCAAGGATCTCAGAAAGTTACATGCCACCAGTGGGAGAAAAAAAGTCATTTTTCATAAGTCATCATAATCTAGGGGTGAGCTGATACTGGAAACTGATGGCATGGAGTTCTTTTTCAATCAAGTCCAATGAACTAAAATCTGTGCTGGAGATTAAAACTATATATGGAAATCCATTTTCTATGTGTAATTCCTCTATGTCAATTTTCCATGTGTTGATACGGTACATGAAGTGTCAATATGATCTCTCTGCGTCTCTCTTAGAAAATAAAGGGAAGCTAAAAGTCAACAGTTGCAGTCAGCCATCAGGCTCCGAAGGGGGCTCCTATCTCCTCAAATCTGGCACAGCATCCTTGCCACCTGGGACAGCCGCTTCTCCCTCGAAGAGCACAAACGGAGCTCCTGGTACTGTTTCTGAATCAGAAGAAGAAAAAGCCAAAAAATTACTGTATTGTTCACTATGCAAAGTGGCTGTGAACTCCCTGTCCCAGCTAGAGGCACACAACACAGGTTAGCAGCTATCATTTGAATTTAAATCGTGCTTATGACAAAACCCAACTTTTCCCAGCAGAATACCGTATCTTTTGTTGTTCAGACGTTAGGTTTGTTCCGTGTCTTCTCTGCTTTTTTGACTCAAAGGAATGATTTTAAGAAAAGTAGGATATCATAATTTTGGAAACAGCAAGGCAAAAGTTTAAAGCAAATTGGAGATAAAACTTATTCTGTTCTTTATTTTCTCAAAAGCATCTAATATTTCCCAAAACTCATTACGATGAAGTGACAGAGATGAAGACAAATATCTATGCACAATGTTCACTGCAACACACTTAGAAAAAAAGAGAAACAATTTAAAAGTCCCTCAGTAGGGAAACGTCAAATGCTATATTATAGTAACCCCACATGAGAGAACATAGTGCTCCGTCATTAAAATGTAACTATTAAAAAAAAAAGTATATGATTTGCTGTGTGAAATTTTCAGGATATTTAACTAGTATGATCCCAATTTTGAAAATATACGTATTTTTTAGTATATAAACAAAACCAAACCTGAAAAAGAAAACTAAAATGATAACAGTCGTTATCTCTGAGTGGTGAAAATATAGGGTAATCTTACTTATGCTTCTCTATACTTGCCATATTTTCTCCATAATATACTCATGTTTTCCCATTTTTTTACCACAAAAATGTGTTGAATAAGCAGTGTCATTGTTTATAATAAATAAAAACTGTTTATAATCAGCATTAAAATGATTATTTTTTTAAAAAGCAATGAGAAATTCGGCCTGAAGATAAACTTCTCAAAGATAAGAAAACAGAGAGCTATTCATATATCTATTCAGTTCTTAAATAGCTACTTACTTAATGTATGTCTCTTTCTGTCTTAGGATCTAAACACAAGACCATGGTTGAAGCTCGTAATGGGGCTGGTCCAATTAAGTCCTATCCTAGACCTGGATCAAGGTTAAAGATGCAGAATGGCAGTAAGGGCTCAGGACTACAGAACAAGACATTTCATTGTGAAATCTGTGATGTTCATGTTAATTCAGAAATTCAGCTCAAGCAGGTAATGTATCCTGAATTAGTATTCACTGTTGTTGGGTCACCACCAATGAAGTTTTAAATTATAGGTGAGGTTCGGTGGGGTGAGGTCTGGAGCAGATGACCAAGAAAGAATTCTTGAGATGTCTTTGGTGCAAAATGGTGGTTTATTAAAGCCCAGGGACAGGACCCGCGGGCAGAATGAGCTGCGGCCCCAGGGCTGTGAGGCGTGGCGGATTATATACTCAGGAGTTGGGGAGGTGAGGACAAAGGGGGTGTCCAGAGGACTGTCATATGCTAAAGAAGACTCTCAGGATACTGGAGGCCTGGTTATTGATTGTCAAGCCAAGGCTGTTTTTCCCTCTAATGAGGCACTAACAGGAAGACAGTCGGGAGTTTCCTGGAGGAATGTTACGTTCCTCCTAATACACGTCCTTGTCAATGGGCTTCAGGTTCAAAAAGAAATTCCAATTTTATTTACATTTCCTTCCGCCTCAGCCTCCCTTTATTTTATGGAGGGGAGGGTGATGTTAGGGCTTCCGGAAACTGAGTTCTGGGTCTCTGGAAGTTAGGCTATTGGTAAGAAAGCTCCTTCCTTGTAAATCACTAGGACATTTGTGAACTGAGGGAAACTCCTCTCCTGTAGGACCGTGATCTCGATCAGTTAACCACCTGTTTTTCCTTTAGGGCAGCCAGGAGTGCCTGAGGAATGTCACACATATCACATTGGGGGGGGGGAGGGTGTAGGGTGTCAGCTTCTGCTTTGTCCTCAGCTAGCCTTCTGCTCCCTCATCAACCACTGGCTTGTGTATCTAATCTACATGATGGTTCTGGGCTAGGTGAGTACAGCATTCAACCTGGAGCTTGTAGTCAGTCGAGCAGGAACTTCTGGAAGACAAGATGTTCAGCCTGTCTTTCACAGACCAAAAGGTGGTTAGGGAGACAGACTCATCAGTCACGACGGTAACAACAGGCAAAGCCAGGTAAGTACTACAGAGAAAGGAAAGGAAGAGAGGCATCACAACTGAGTGGGGAGCAAGTCTGAATTTTGAGAGCGCGGTGATCTAATCCTCACCACCGGGGAACTGTGGAGCCAGAACTGGGAATGGAGCAACCTGCTACCTCTATCTAGGAAATATATTTTACATGGAGTAAAGCTCACATTTAGATTCAGCTAATGCATCAAACTTTTTTCAGCACATTTCTAGCCGAAGGCATAAGGATCGAGTTGCAGGGAAACCACTGAAGCCGAAATACAGCCCTTACAATAAACTCCAGCGGAGCCCAAGCATTTTAGCAGTAAGTTCACCTCACCTGCTCACTTGTTTCGTGGGTCCACCTTCCTGGCTTAGGCAGGGACTGTGGGTTAGGAGGGCCTAGGGAATAACTGGTCCTGAAAGGTTTTGAATTTCCGTAGCCGTCATAGACAGAAGTTTAGAAGTTTAGAAGGAACTGCTTAGTCTCTGCTGTAGGACACCTTGAAGGAAGCTGCTTTAGAGATGAGAAACTGAACCTCTTTAAGAGCTAATACCTTACTCTTTACCAGGACATTTTCCAAAGACTACCTTCTTTAGCATATAAAGAAAAACAAAGGCTCAGGAACAAAGACAAGTAATCCTGAGGAATCCTGGAATGTGTTGAACCTGGAAGAGGGCTTGCTTTCCTTAAACAAAACTCCATCCATTTGATACCGTCCTCCTTTCTAGAGAGCTCTCCCTCTCCTCCCTCCTACACCCACCTCTCCACCCCTCCTTCTCCAGAAAGTAAAGTGGGTGTTGGTATTACTCTCTCTTTCCCTGTCTAGCAGGCATGTTGGTATTCAGCCTGTCCTAACTGCTCTCAATATGTGCTGTTTTCAGTTTCTTTGCAAAAATACCCAGGGGCGCCAGCAATAGATGTCATATAAATACCCAGATGGATGGATTTTATAATCTCCCTGGGACTTAGCCCAGTGTGGCATTCCATTTGAGGTTGAAGCGGGATTGGCCAGCTGGAGGCGATGCTCCCAGCTTCTGCAAAGCCTCCATCTGATGCTGCAAGCAGGTGTTACCTGCATTAAACAAATCCAGTGTGCAAAGCTTCTCCTGATTGCAAAAGAGAGAAATTAAGGATTGATTTCTTACTTTACAAGAAGATTCCACCTTGGGATTCCTTTAAAAAGAGAACGTTTCTAGCACACTTACAGTCCTTCCCAACGACAGAAATTTGAGTTAGCTGCAGTTTTTCAGGGAATACTCTTTAAGTGGCCAGAGAAAGAGGTGCACACTGACTTTGTTTTCATGACGCTTAACAGGTCCCTAACGTCCTGAACCCCAGTTACTTCACCCAGTGCAGCTCTTCAGAGACAAGTGTAGGGTCAGGCATACTCCCCCCTCCCCCCCCACCCCGCCCAGAAAACCTCTCTCAAAGCTGCACTGTGGTTTACGAGTAGTCAGAATTTTAAATTGAGCTCCATTATCTAAGCAGGAAACTTTCTGGGTATGTTTGTTTTTTCTTTGTGAGAAGAAGCGGCACAAAATAGCTTTAGTATCTATTCAGAGAGGCTTCCCCCCCGCCCCCCCCCCGCTTCCTAGTGCCTAGAGGCAAGGGCCACCAGAAAAAGAGTGGAAATGGAAACAAATCAAAGCAAAGGTATGCCAAGAGCCTCTGAAAAACAGCCTTGTGAAAATAATTTCCTGACTTTTGAGAGTCACGGTCTTGAAAAGCTGACTTCTTAACGTCTGTGTTGCGAAAAGATGTCCGCGGTGCTTATCGAAAACCATCTCCCCACCCCGTTCCCGGTTCTCTCCCTCCGTTAGGCAAAACTTGCATTCCAGAAAGACATGATGAAGCCTTTGGCCCCGGCCTTCCTGTCGTCGCCCCTGGCGGCGGCGGCCGCGGTGTCGTCGGCGCTGTCGCTGCCGCCCCGGCCGTCGGCGTCGCTCTTCCAGGCGCCCG